TTTTCATCTCTCTTTGAAGTTCCTGGATCCACCAGCCCGTGTGGGTTGTGAGCTCGAGGCCTGAAATGTTAAATATCCCAGGCTACAAAATGAAGCATTAAAAACCAATCCAGAGGGCTTTTGGCTCATAGCTCTGATCTGGAAATTGTTTAGAGACTGAAAGGCAGGTAAAGGAACCAGCAGTGAAATGCTGAAGGATCTTCAGGATCCCTCAGAGAAGAGCAGGAATTTTAACCCCCCCACCACTGCTGAGGGCAGGGAGGGTCAGGGGGGATTGTTCCCCCCAACTCTGCAGCTGTGGGATGCAAGAGACACCTCAAAACCACAAGGTGAGGGGGTTTGGGGAGATTTTTGGCAGCTGCTTTGGGTGCAGGGGGTGGTGTTTTATATCCATGGAGCTCCTGCTCAGCCTTTGCCTGGATGCAATTTTCCCTGCTGGAATCACAGCCTGCCCTGCTGCTGATTCACCTCTCCAGAGGCAAAATTCTGCTGGGTTTTTTTTGGTTTTTATCTGCCTCTGCACAACCTTTCCAGAGCCTCCTCCAGCTCCTTTCCTTCTGCTTCAGCTGAGTATAAAACAGCACTGGCCAGTCTGGGCTCTTCAGTTCCTGAATGCCTCAAGAAGAGGTTTAATTCTGCTAGAAAAGATCCAAACTTTTACATTTTTCTGTCTTTTTTTTAAAGCAGCTGATGAGGAGCACAAAGGGCAGCTCTCTCCAAAGGCAGCCACTGCTGCTTTCCTCCTGCTCCCAGGGGTGTGGGAAAGCCAGAATTCCAAGGCGGAACAACAGCCCCACCTTTGAGGAGCAGGGGAGTAGAACCAAGGCTGGGATGTGGCGCCCAGAGAGCCAAAGATTGACAGGAAGCAGCCTAAACCCCAAACAGAGATTAACAAAGGAGCCGGACTCAGCCTTTGTGGGACCAGCCCTGAAGGAGCCAATCCCAATCCCATTAAAAACCAGACTGCCAAAGCCTTTTCCCTAAAGGAGTCAACCCCAATCCCATTAAAAACCAGAATCCCAAAGCCTTTTCCCTAAAGGAGTCAACCCCAATCCCATAAAAACCCAAACTCCCAAAGCCTTTTCCCTAAAGGAGCCAATTCCAATCCCAATCTCAATCCCATTAAAAACCAGACTCCCAGAGCCTTTCCCCTAAAGGAGCTGATCCCAATCCCATTAAAGCCCCAGTTCCCAAAACCTTTTCCCTAAAGGAGCCAATCCCAATCCCATTAAAAACCAGAATCCCAAAGCCATTTCCCTAAAGGAGTCAACCCCAATCCCACAAAATCCAGAATCCCAAAACCTTTTCCCTAAAGGAGCCAATCCCAATTCCATTAAGGCCCCAGCTCCCAAAGCCTTTTCCCTAAAGGAGTCGACCCCAATCCCATAAAAACCCAAACTCCCAAAGCCTTTCCCCTCACCCAGCATCAGCACTCAGGAGTTTTCCCAGAAAGGATTTCTCTCCTTATCCCGGGATTTTCCTTCCTCTCTCTCGCTCCAGCTCTCTGGCAGGATCCCTAATTAATTGGGAAGTGGCCATTTCCAGCTAATTGCCCAGCTGGATTTTCCAAGCAGAACCTGGATCAAAACCCCCCAAAGCAAACAACAAAGAAACAAAACCCCCACAAACACAAAGGGTTGGAAAGAAAAGGAAAACCAAGGGAAAACAATTTCCCCATGAGCTGTTTGCTCCCAGGGAACAGAATCGTCCTCCCTGCTGGAACAGGGATGGGTTGGTGCCATGGACAAAAAACCAAACAAACACAACCAAAAAAAAAAACCCAACCCACCCAAACAAAATGAAAACCCAAATAAACAAACAAAAAACCTAAAAAAAACCCCAAATAAACAAACAAAACCCCAAATAAACAAACAAAAACCCAAACAAACAAAACAAAACCCCAAATAAAAAAACAAAAAACAAAAACAAAACCCAAATAAACAAAGAACCCAAACAAAACCCCAAATAAACAAACAAAAAACCCAAACAAAAACCCAAATAAACAAAGAACCCAACAAAAGCACAAATAAACAAACAAAAAACCCAACAAAACCCAAATAAACAAACAAAACCCCAACAAACAAAAAACCCAAATAAACAAAACCACCGAACCAACAAAAAAACCCAAACAAAATAAAAAACCCAAACAAACAACCAAAACCCAAAACAAACAAATAAACCAACAAAAAACCCAACTCAAACCAGAAAACAACTCCAAAAAAACCCCCACAAAACAGCAAAACAACAAAGCCAGAAAGAGGAAGGAAACCCTTGAGGTCACACTTGCATCAAGTGCTTCAATTCCCATCAGAAACTGAAAGTGGGAACGCGTTTTGAAGGAAAGGATGGATGCTCCTGGTTTCCTTGTGCTGATCCCAGCCCTGGCTCTGGAGCCTGCTGGGTCATTCATTCCCTGCTGGGTCATTCCCTGCTGGGTCATTCCCTGCTGGATTATTCATTCCCTGCTGGATTATTCATTCCCTGCTGGATTATACGTTCCCTGCTGGGTCATTCATTCCCTGCTGGGTTATTCCCTGCTGGGTCATTCTCTGCTGGGTCATTCCCTGCTGGGTTATTCCTTGCTGGGTTATTCCTTGCTGGATTATTCCCTGCTGGATTATTCATTCCCTGCTGGGTCATTCATTCCCTGCTGGGTCATTCATTCCCTGCTGGATTATTCATTCCCTGCTGGATTATTCATTCCCTGCTGGGTTATTCCTTGCTGGGTCATTCTCTGCTGGGTCATTCCCTGCTGGGTCATTCATTCCCTGCTGGGTCATTCCCTGATGGATTATTCCCTGCTGGGTCATTCCCTGCTGGATTATTCATTCCCTGCTGGGTCATTCCCTGCTGGATTATTCATTCCCTGCTGGGTCATTCATTCCCTGCTGGGTTATTCCCTGCTGGGTCATTCCCTGCTGGGTCATTCCCTGCTGGGTCATTCCCTGCTGGATTATTCCTTGCTGGGTCATTCCCTGCTGGATTATTCATTCCCTGCTGGGTCATTCATTCCCTGCTGGGTCATTCCCTGCTGTGTTATTCCCTGCTGGATTATTCATTCCCTGCTGGGTCATTCCCTGCTGGGTCATTCATTCCTTGCTGGGTTATTCCTTGCTGGATTATTCCTTGTTGGGTCATTCATTCCCTGCTGGGTCATTCCCTGCTGGACTATTCATTCCCTGCTGGGTTATTCCCCCTGGGTTATTCCTTGGGGTTTGCACCCTGCACTGGAGGCTGAGCTGAGCAGAGCAGCCAGGATATTTGGATATAACCCAGAGATATTTGGGAATTTTGCTCCATGAAAAACACGGGAACCATTGCACTGCCCCTTGCTCAGGTCCCTCTCAGCAGGACTCACCCAAATTCCCAATTTTTGCTCACTGCTGATGCCCTTCCCCTTGGAACTGGGTGATGAAATCCCTTCCAATCCAGACACTCCGTGATTCTGTTGGATGAACCAAACCTTGGAGTGCTGATGCCAAACAGCCCTGGGGGATCCCAGTGGTGCCTCTTTCCTTGGAAAAACGTGAAGCCAGCTTTTCCAGCTTCACCAGGAAGCGCCTGTTCCTGGTCTGGTGCTTTTCCCTATTTCTGACTCCTGTCCTGGGGACAGGGGAGTTTGGAATGTGCAGGAATCCCGTACTCAGTCTCCTTTTCCTCCACACACACAGGGAATTTTCAGCCCAGGAACAGCAGGGAACAGCAATTCCTGGCTGGAATTGGAAGCCCTGCCAGGGGTTGTGGTTTGCTCTCCGTGGGCAAGGAGGGGGCCTGGGTTCCTTTTTTGCTCCCAGAGTTATCTCAGCTTGTGGTTTCACACGGAAAATGACCCAAGAAAGGAAAACCCCCCCTGCAGTTGTTTCCAAGCAGAACATCCTGGTTGGGCAAGGCCTGAGGGCTGCAGGGCTGGGTTTTAGATGGAACCTCACGAGACAGCCACAGGCCTTTGTGAGGATCTGAGCTGGATCCTTTGGGAGGAATTCAATCCTTCAGGAGCTGTGAGCTATGGGACAGCTCGGCCTTGGCCTCTTCCAGCCACCAGTGCTCTGGAAAAATGCACCAGGGGCTGGGAAAATCTGGGAATGGGGTCACAGGGGGAGGGAGGCAGGAGATCCATGGGAATGGCTCCATGGGAATGGCCCCATGGGAATGGCCCCATGGAATGGCCCCATGGGAATGGCCCCGTGGGAATGGCCCCATGGAATGGCTCCATGGGAATGGCCCCATGGGAATGGCCCCGTGGGAATGGCCCCATGGAATGGCCCCATGGAATGGCTCCATGGGAATGGCTCCATGGGAATAGCTCCATGGGAATAGCTCCATGGGAATGGCTCCATGGGAATGGCCCCGTGGGAATGGCTCCATGGGAATGGCTCCATGGGAATGGCTCCATGGGAATGGCCCAATGGGAATGGCCCCGTGGGAATGGCTCCATGGAATGGCCCCGTGGGAATGGCCCCCAGCCCACATGTCCATGGGATCAGTGTGGGGTGGGATTTGTCCCTTCTCTCCATTGAGGAGCTCTCGGACACTTCAGTGTTTCCCAATGGAATTGGGAAGGAAGTCAGGAGCGTGTCTGAGGCTGGAATGATGCACAGCTGGGGAAAAGGAAGAGGAAGGGAAATCAGGATTGCCAGGGGAATCCACAGGAGATTCCAGAGGCAGCTGGAGGACTCTGGGGCTCATCCTCTGAAATGAAAACCCAACACAGCCTTGGCCTAGAACAAACCCCAAACAGAGCCTAAACTCCCTCCTGAGCTTATCACCCACAACTCCAAATTCTTTGGTGGAGAAGGCAGAGGGAGCAGTGCAGCACTGGGGGATCCCTGCCAGCATTCCCAGGACCCACCAATTCTGTAGGAATCCTTGTCCAGGTCTTTGCAGAAGCCCTTCCCGTTGGCCACCTCCAGGGAATACTCGATCAGCAGCAGGACGCTCATGACCTGGAGAACAAAGCAAAAAAACACAATTCAGGGGCCTTGGGCCAAATCCCCAGCAGTGAATTTACTTCCAGGGAATGATGGATGGATGAGTCTCCACGTGAGCCAAACACAAAGGGTTCAAATCCCAGGAAATTCGGAGACAACAGTTATCAGTTTATTAATATTTTGGATTTAACTCCCAGCAGAAGGAGGATGGAGAAATGACAAAGTCAGTGAGTTTGTTTCAATGGTTTTTATCCTGGTTTTATGTTTTGGGATTGCCTTTTGCTCTGGAGTTGAGGGAAATGCAACACCAGTATTCCAAAGGGTAAAAAAAACCACAAAGAAGATTAAATATTTCCCTGCAGGTGTAGCTGTGCCACTCCATTGACAAAATCATCACTTCTCTTCTTTTATTATTCGAGGAAAACCTCCAAATGTTCTTTTTGCACATTGAACCAGAATGATTTCCCCCAAGTTTTCCAGCTGGACCATCAAACCCAGCCTGCAGGGTTGGTTCTGTCCTGAGTTTAACGAGCTGGGAGGTGGAGGGAGCTCCAGAGCTGTGGGCTCAGGCCTGGCCCAGCCAGGGATGGTGTGAGAGATCCCTGTGTGAGCCCAGGTCAGGAGATCTCCAGGGAATCAGGGGATCACAGAAAGGATGGAACTTGCTGGATTTTTCCCTGTTTTCCACCCTGGGAAAGCTCTGCAGGAAGGGGTTTGCAGCCTGCACTGGGGGCTGAGCTGAGCAGTCTCCAACCCTTCCACAGGAATTTTTGGGAATAATGCTCCATGGGAAACGTGGGAATCATTGGCCACACTTGGAAGGGCCTTGCCCATGGGTTGGAAGGGATTGGAAAGCTTTTCCCATCCCACCCAGCCATGGCAGGGTCACCCCCACTGTCCCCAGGGTCACCCCCACTGTCCCAGGCTGCTCCAGCCCCAATGTCCAGCCTGGCCTCGGGCACTGCCAGGGATCCAGGGACAGCCACAGCTGCTCTGGCAATCCCTGTGTGTGCCCCCGTGTATCCCTGGCTGTCCCTGTTTGTCCCTGTCAGTCCCTGTCAGTCCCTGGGGTGTCCCTGGGTGCAGGGAGGGTCCGAGCAGGGCCAGGCTCTGCTCCAGGCCCAGAAGTGACACCAGAGCAGGGGCTGAGCCCAGGAACTGCAGAACTGCCCTGAGCAGAGCCCGGAGAGGGGCTGGAGGCTCCTCGCTGGGATATTCCCGAGCCACACGGACACAGCCCCGTGCCCTGTGCCCTGGGCTGGCCCTGCTGGAGCAGGGGGTGGCACCTGTGACCCTCTGGGGTCCCTCTGGCTCGGTGACCCCGAGCCCTGTGGCCCTGCAGTGATGCAGAAGCCGGGCCCCATCTGCCACCCACAGCAGCACCAACAACTCTTCCAGCAGAGCTGCACCAAGCCTTGGCTTCAGCCGCGGCCCTGGGCAGCACCGCCGTGCTCGGGGCTGGGGTTTGCAACCCAGGGCTGCTGGAGCAGCACAGAGCCGGCTGGGCTGGGCACAGAGCGGTTCTGTCTTCAGAGGGATCCAGACAGGGTGTGGGCAGCAGGGATGCCCAGCCAGGGCTGCTGAGCTGCTGCGAGGGAAGGCTGCTCCCCCAGGAAGGAGGAAGCGAGGCTGGGAGTGCCAGGAGCTGAGCACAGCCCCTGCCTCTGCCTCTGTGTCAGCTGCAGAACTCCTGGGAATAACATCAAACCAAATTCATTAACTTTCTGAGCCTGCAGCTCCCAGAAAAGCTGTGGCACCAAGAGCCAGCAGCCACCAGCCACGCTGGGCTGCAGAGGGTCCCTGTCCCACCCTGTCCCTCTGAATTTGGAATTCTGTCTGGAGTCTGAAAGAGAAGGAAGGATGTGTCAGGTTTTCCCTGGGCCTGTCTGATACCAGCTCGTTCCAGAGTCACTCTGCTGTCTTCCCTTTTTTCCATGAAGTAAATGAACTTTGCAATTTGCTCCTGAGCTGGCAGGAAGAGGAGGAATATCCAGATCTCATTACACGAGGACACGACAAAGTTAACACGGGTTCAGCTTAATGGAACAGCATTTCAGCTCCCAGGGCAGCTCTGAACCCTGTCAAGGATGAAATTGCATCGATCCAAAGTGCCTTTACGGCTGCTGCTGCCCCTTGGGAGGGGAGGGATCTCTAATGAAGACACATGGAGATCACACCTGACTGCAAGGTGCCTGAGAGGTTTCGTGTTCAAGCTCCCAAACAGGTTTTGCTGCCTTTATTTCTGCTGTTGGCCCAACCCCTCAATTGCCAGAGTGGGAAATACGGGCAGAAATTGCTTTTTCAGGTTTTCTTTAAAAGGAGGCCGGAGCAAAATGGATGAGCTGGGCCCTAAGCAGCAGTTCTGTCCTGAAAGAGGAGTGGGTGAGAGCAGGACAGCAAACCCAGACTCCCCCATCCCATCCAGCAGGTCCAGGGGCTGAGGTTCAGCATGAGGAAGCCTCTCTGATATCTGTCACAGAAAAATGAGGCCCTGGTTTCCTCGCTGCTGTGGAAATGAGCCACAAAGGCCAGACCAAGTGCAGCCACACAAGATACGAACATGGCAGGAAGCCCCAGCCCAGCCTGAGAGGTTCAGGAGACTTTTAAGGCAAAAGCTGGTTCAAAACTTTCCATTTTGTGTAGAAAAAAGGAAGAAGCACTGAGCTGTGAGCGGGCAGAGACCTGCAGGCCTTTCCCTTGGCATGGAGAGCCAGGCCAGCACCAGGACACCCCCCAGCAGCTTTGGCACGCTGGAATGTGGAGCCTGCCTTATTCCTGCAGGGAATGCACATCCAGGGCATGGACCCTCTGCCCAGCACGCCCAGGATTTATTCCAGCTTTCTCTGAAGAGATCAGAGCGAGGCAGAGCTGATTTATGGGAGGAGAAGGCGCTGCCACAGAGCCTGAGAGCTCTTTGGTGTCACGGCTGGGGCTCACCCCTGGCACCTGCAGCAGGAATTTATCCTGATCCAAACCCCCAGCACTGATGGAGTGCTGGAGCCGGGGAATCTCCTCTTCCTCTCACTGCACCATCAGAAGGGAGGGAAGAGGCAGGGGGAAGATGGCTGGCACAGTGTGATATCCCTTCAAGAAGTGAGACAAGGCCCATCCAAAAATCACCCACTTTTCCAGGGGCAAAAGGGGTGGTACAGCTCCTGCTGCTCCAGGGAACAGGGGAGACCTTGGAATGTCCTTCCTGTGCCACAGCTGCCATTCCCACAGGATTTCTGCAGGCTGCAGGTCCCCAGCTCCCCCTGAGCTGCCCAAGGAACCTGTGAGAGCCCCGGTGTCACCCTGAAACCCTGACTGTGCACAGGGATAATTTTAATAACCCAGCCAGGCAATAAACCACATCCTCGGCATGGCTGAAAGCACCTCGAGCTCCTCAGTGCAGCCAGGAGCGCGGCACAGAGGGGTTCCCAGGCTCTCCTGCTCTGCCATCCCTGCCCTGAACAGCTTCTCCAGCTGCCTGGGGGACACAGCCTCAATCCCAATGGAAACCAAGAGGGACGTGGAGGAGGCAGCTCTGCCCATCACCCTCTGCTCATCCAGCTCCCAAATCCCTCCAGTGCCCCATTCCCACCCAGCAGCTTCGGGATACACTCGGCTAGGAGCAGAAAAACAGGAAGCTCAGTTTCCCTGAGCTCCAATTGGCAGGGCCAGGGGAAAAAACCGCTCAAAACCCCTCCCAGTACAGCCAATTCCGCTTCTCCCTGTCCCCCACCACCTTTTGTTCATCCCTCTGAACTCGTTGGGTTTTCCTCTTGGGAACAGAGAACATTCCAGTGTCAGGGAGCCCTGTGAACCACAACAACGCTGCTCCTGGAGAGGTTCCACCTCTGTTTCCTTCTCTCCCTGTCCCTGCTCCCTTCCAGGCCCAGCACTCACCATGTGGAAGATCCCCAGGGTGACCGTCGCTGTCTTGATGTTGAAGCAGCAGCATTTGGGGGGCTCAGGGGGGGTTTGGGGGGTCATTTTCGGGTCCCTCTGAGCCCTCCTGAGTTAATGAGGTCGAATTTGGAGCTGCCCCACAGAAAGCGAAGCGAGAGCAGCTCGGCTTCCTTCCTGCTCTCTGAATGTGTGAAGTCATCTGCAGAGTCACATGAGGCCTTTGGGTTTCTCAATCACAAAGAAAGCAAAAGTGGGGGGCTTGCTGAACACGTCCAGCTGGGAAATCAGAGCCCCAGCACTGCTCAGGTGTCCAGCACGGGGCTGTCAGGACAGGAGGATCAGGAGCAGGACGTGATCTTGATCCACAAAACTGCTCAGGAGCAAAAGCCGGGTCCAGGAATCTCACCTCAAACTCACCCTGCTGTTTTTGCAGTGAAACATCCAAGTTCCTCCCTTTGGACCTGGCGTTCCCTGCCAGCAAAGGCACCGTTCCCTGGTTTCACACTTTTATAAGTTTGGTCCATTTGCACATTGGGGTTAATCTCCCAATTCCAGCTCCAGGTAATGAAATCATTAACCCCAAGTTTGCTCCCCCGACTCCCTTTTATTTCCATCTCTCGAGCCTGAGGCAGTGAGGTGTCCTTGATTGCCAGAGGAATTGCTGGGTCTGACCCAAATGGGAGAGCAGCAGCTCACACTTGGTGTGGATTCCACACATGGAACCCACACCGTAGATTCCTCTGGGCTCTCTCCAGCAGCTCCACATCCTTAATTCTGGGGGCTGCAGGGCTGGGGCAGCTCTGCAGGTGGGGTCTCACCTGAGAGGGACACAGAGGCACAATCCCCCTTTAGCTCACAGGGATCAGCCCAGGGCTGGGGGGATCTGGGCTGGGTCATGTCCAGTTTCACCCACCACCACCCCCAAATCTCCCAGGGCTGCTCCATCTGCTTCTCCCCAGCCTGGATCCATCGCAAGAGTTTCTCCCTCTCAGGGGCAGCACCGGACTCGGCCTTGTTAAACCCGAATGATTCCCATGGGGAGGGGGTTGTGGAGATCCTGGAATTTCCAATATTCCCAGTTTTACCCCCCCAGGATGTGGAGCTGCTGTCCTGCTGTGTCCAACCCCCCTGAGCCCCACTCCAAATGTTCCCAGGCCAGGGTTTAGAGAAGGATTTGCAGGTGTCAGAAATCATTTCTGGCTAAGAAATCCCAACCCCTCCCACAGCAGCCAGGAGCCCTCTGAGGGCTCCAAAGACAAAATTATCATTTTGCTTATTTGGAGTGACAACAGAACCTCTTCATTAATGTGACTTCCAGCCAGCAGCTCATTATGCTTTATGTCTGTGCTGATGTGTGTTTGGCCATTCATTATTTTATTTTCTCCTCATGCTGGAGGATTTATGGCTGCCCTCTTCCCTGCTTTATCCCTTCATTATATTTTATGGCAGCTTTGCTATGCTTGATGTCCACGCAGCCTCCCCCTGGATCCACCTCCCTGGATTTTATCCATCACCTTGCACGGCTCCTGCCTCACTCAGAGATAAAAAAATGACAATCTGGAGGATATTTAAGTGCTCACAGAGGTAAAAGTGCGTTGTTTTCATCCAGCTGGATGGAGGGAGCTGCTGCTGTAGCTTTGCTCACACAGCTCTGTGAGAAGAGGACGATGTTTTGGTTGGAAGGGAGGCAGCAGTTTTCCTGCAATGTTCACCCGGCTCCTGGAGCTCCTGGAGCTCTGAGCCGAGCTCAGGAAAGCCAAGGGGTCCTGGAGCTGCTGTGCTGGTGGAGGGCTTGTAGGGAAGCAGGGAAAAAGGGAACAAAAATCCCTCCCTGCCCTGAGCGGAAAGGGAAGTTTTGCTGTGCTAAACGTGAGCAGCTCGGTAAAATTCCACAGGAGAAGGAGGAGACTTCGCCATTTGATCCTCGCTCTATTTTCTGCTGGGAAGTGGGAAGAGGAACCAGCTGGTGGCTGCTGTGCACTTTGCAGAAGCAACACCTTTTCTTTCCCTCAGACAGCTCCATGTGAAATACTTTCTCCAAGGCTGGAGATCCCTCTCTGCCTCTGCAGGGCTCTGGCTCCCGCTCGTCCTCATCCTGCAGGGAGCTCCCACAAAATCCCAGAGCCCATCCCTGCTCCGGGCAGGTCGGGATGGAGAGCTGGCACCTGGGGGTCAGCCTGGGCTGTGTCCTGGCCATGGGGATGTCCCTGAGGGTGGCACTGCTGTCCCCACCTCTGCTCTGGGAGCTGGCAGAGCCTCGAGCACCCAGCGGCTCTGGATGTCCCTGCGGGGCAGCCGATCCTGACTGATCCCAGCCCATCCCAACTGATCCCAACCAATCCCAGCCATTCCCAGCCCATCCCAGCTGATCCCAGCCCATCCCAGCCAATCCCAACTGATCCCAACCATTCCCAGCCAATCCCAACTGATCCCAGCTGATCCCAACCATTCCCAGCCAATCCCAACTGATCCCAACCATTCCCAGCCAATCCCAACTGATCCCAACTGATCCCAACCATTCCCAGCCAATCCCAACTGATCCAAACTGATCCCAGCTAATCCCAACCATTCCCAGCTGATCCCAACTGATCCCAGCCAATCCAAACTGATCCCAGCCATTCCCAGCCCATCCCAACCCTCTGGAGCTGGCTGGGACAAACCTTCCCAGCATTTCCACCCATTCCCACAAGGAAACCTTGACATTTTGGTGCTGCAGATTCCTGAGGCTGTCCCCACTCCCTGAAGGAAACCTTGACATTTTGGTGCTGCAGATTCCTGAGGCTGTCCCCACTCCCTGTGATCCCAAATTCCTGTTTAAATTCAGTGTTTGTATGCACTGATCACACAAAGTCCATCTTTGGAGAAGAACAATCCACATTCTTCAAATATTCCCACAATTATTGGTGACAGAGGCCCCATGCAGGTGCCTCACCTTTAGCACAGATCACACAAAATGTTTGAATTTTTGTTTGAAAACCAAAATATTTGAAGTCCAGAACTCAGCTGAGGAGAAGCTGGAGCTGTCCACAAAAGCATTAAAACTTTGCAGAGTTTTTAAAAAGAAAAATCCTCCACCCACCAATACGAGAACGGGAACATTTTGTTTTGCCGTTTTCCAAATGAAACATTTCACCTCCTCAGGTTGAGAAAACATTTGACCTCGGAATATGTCTCGGAGTTATTTATGGGAAAAAACCCTGCAGCAATCACATCAAAATGTTTCACTTGACCAGATTTTGACAGCCTGGTTTTTCGAGACACCACGGTTTTGAATCCTTTTAGGTTGATTTTTCCTCTCTTTTTGAATTCCAGATTTCAGCAGTGCCCGAGGCCCCACACTTCAGTCACTCCCAGCTGTAATTAGCCAGAGCTTCTCAAGAACCCAATCAACGATTACTCGAGTGAGCCACGGAGGCCTTGCAGGGATTGAAGCACTCAGGTTGATTTCCTGGCCAGATATTAATTCTATCGTGGGGAGAAACAAATGGGATTTATCCTGCAGGCCCTGAAGGGGCTGAGATTCCAATCCCTGCTCCTGTTCACGGGGTCTTGGGGTGGGATTTGGTTTGGAATGGCGTGGTTGCAGCTCTGGGGTTTGCACAAAGAACCCTCCTTTGGTCTCATCCTTCACCCCAAACATCCACACCCCAAAATCCTGCAGGGATTTCAGTGCCAGCCCCTGCCTGGGGCAGGTTCCACAGCCCCTGTGGGATCCTGGAATGGGAGATGTGGGAAGGGACCTCCCAGTGCCACCCACGGCAGGGACACCTCACTGTGCCCAGGGTCACACCCACCCACCGTGCCAGGTCACCCACCCGAGGCCACCGCTCATTTCTGAACCTGCTTTGCTGCCTCCAAAACTCAGTTTGGGTGAAATTTGATCGAGAAATTTTACTCCAACAGGAGGTTTTCCAGCAAAACCAAGGATTCTGTGGGGATGGAGCACTCAGCCCTCACTTGGGTACCTTTATTTGAGTCATTTTAATACTTTAACCTAAAGCAGAAACCTGAATATTCAAAAAAGTCTAATTTGGGATGGGGCTGGTTCAGATAAATTCAGGCAGGGTGGAGATGTCAGCTCAGACTGGATCTACCTCAGATTTAAACAATTCCTCATTCAAATGAGGTTAAAATGGGGTAGAAACCTCAATGATCACAGGCAGTTTCATCCCCAGGACTGGAATTTATAACAATAATCTAAAAATCAAACGATTGAAGGGAATTTCTCTGAGAGCTTCTCGATGCAGTGGTGGGACTGTGGAGTTGATTGGATCTTTATTGAGATTCCAGTGAAGGAAAAGGAGGAAAAACAGCTGGAAACATTTGGCAATTACTGACCCATTCTTCTGCAGCAGCACGGCCTGGAGCAGAACAAACCACGGAGCTGCCCTTCCTCTCCTTTCTGCACTCCAAGGAAAACCATTTGGGCAGAGATTTTTATAAACCCAGCAGGAGAAAAGAGCGGAGATTCCATGAAATTCACCCATGGCTTCATCGGTTTTTCTGTGGATGCAGCTGAGGACGCGCTTTGGGTGCTCCTGCCAAGGTCGGGGTGATCCCAGTGGGATCTGGAGCAGGGAACGAGGGCTCTGGTGGGAAATGAGTGCCCAGGTGGGAAGGGAGGTGCAAACTGGGGGGGCTGGAGGAGATCAAAGGGGATTTTGGGGTGCTCAGGGCTGTGCAGCCGAGGTGAGGCCACAGGGCTGCCCCAAGCAGCAACAGGAGTGATCCAAGATTCTCCTCTCACAGAACATTCCGGAGCCCCAGGATCCAGCAGGTTCTGGACTCGAGTCCTGCCTCATTTTTCCAGCAGAAAAATTATTTTATTTTTATTTTATTTTTATTCCAGCAGATCTGATAATTTTTGGCTTGGATTTGGGGATTTTCCTCAATCCCTTTCCTTCAGTCAAGAACATAAAGCTGACAGAATTCCCCACCCTCCTTCCCTGAAGGAACCTCCTGTGATCCACAGGAACCTGGATCCTCCCTTGCCCAGCTCTCCACACCAGGAGCTGCCAACAAATGGAAAATTCCTGATGGTGAACTGATAAAAATTGCTGAAAGGACTGAAGAAAATGAGGAATTTTGGGGGTTTTAAATAAATTGGATCTTTTCCCCACTTTCCTCATCCCTGGGAAAGAGGGAGCTCTGTCCCTTGGGAAATATTCCCAACATTTTATGTTTTTCCCCAGAGGAGAGGTCTCCCT